TGTCCTGGAGGAAGTGCAGCCAGAATGCTCCTTGGAAGCGAGAATGGCCAGACTTCGTCTCACCTACTTTGGTCATGTTGTAAGAAGGGACCATTCCCTGAAGAAGGATGTTATGCTTAGCAAGGTGGAGGGTCGATGAAAGAGGGGAAGGCCTTCAACGAGATGGATTGACACAGCGGCTGCGACAGTGGGCTCAAGTATAGGGAGGATCATAGAGCTGGCGCGGGATCGGGCAGTGTTTCATTCTGCTGTGCATGGGGTTGCTATGAATCGGAAATGACTCGATGGCACCTAACAACAACAACATCCTATTTGAGCTCTGCTGTCCGTTAGGTTAATTCTTTTTACCCTATAAACAAATGTACCTAAGTTTCTCCTGTCCTCAAAACACATACATGCTCCTCCTCTTACTTTGATTCTCCTCTAGCTACTATCCTCTCCACTTCCTTCCGTAGCCAGGCACTTTCAAAGTATGGTCTAATTGTGTGTATTGGAGGAACATGGGCACAAAACAGAACATAATGTGCAATTCCAGTTATGTGAAGTTAAGGTGCAACCATAATTAAACAACAAGGACAGAAGTCAGAATGTAGTTACCTCATGGGCAGGGGGTTGGTTTTGACTGAAAGGGCAAGAGAGGGAGCCTTCTGGAGGCTGGAATTTTTTTTTTATTATTATGATCTAGGTGGTAGTTACATAGATAAACATTCATTAATTTGTAACCTTGAAATTGGAGCTTTTTAAATTATGGATGTTATACAGTTATCTAAACAAAAAAGAAGGGCTTGTGTGTATCTTCCTAACTACCTGTCACCTCTGCAGATGTCCCCCACCACTCACCACCTCATGAAGCACAGTCCTTCTTGGTCACTGGGACGTTTCCACACACTTGAATCTTTATTATTCTTGACTTCCAGATGGCACTGAACACTGGTGATAGCATCTTCCTTTCTGGAAATCCCTCTTTCAATCTAAAAACCTTTCCCTCCTGGTGACCCTACCTTTGGTTCCTCCTTAGTTCCCTTCTTAGCTCCTTATTGTCAGTCTTTGTCATGCAGCTATTTGTGTAACACCAAAATATAGTAATTTGGCTCTGCTAAGTATAGGGTGCCTCCTCAGTTTAGCAGCACAGATAACCCTCTGGAAAGCTATAGCTTCCACTCACATGGCATGATGATGATGACATGGTGAGTAGACTAGATTATCTCAGGAATGTCAGTCTCAGGTATGTACGCTGCCCACTTGGAGCTCTGTGTGGTGGTCAGAGAACATGTAATCTTACCCATGCTCAGAAGAACTACAGACACAAGACCCACATGGAACAAGAGCACAATGTAGGTGGTAGTCATTGCTCCAGAAGTCAAGAGTGAGGGGGCAGAGACTGAAGTGTGCCTAAAACCTTTTTCTCCTATATGTTTATCTGACTTACCTCCTTTAAACCTTTCTCACATCTCACCTTTCTCAACCATGTTGTGTACTGTAGCCACCACCTCCCAGCACTCCAGATCCCACATTCCCCACTCGTTACTTATAGCACTTAACATATCCAACACCACAGTATAATTTACTGGTTCATTACGTTGATTGTTTATATTTTGTCTACCCTATTAGACTATAAGTTCCAGATGTTTGTTTTGTCCACTGACCTATATCACATGCCTAGAACAATGCCAAGTACATAGTAAGTAAGGAAAAAGGAAAAAAAAAAAAAACAAAAACTCACTGCTATCAAGTCAAATCTGACTCATAGCGACCCCTCCTTGGGTTTCTGAGGCGATATATCTACGGAAGTATTGTCCAATCTTCCTTCCAAGGAGTGGCAGGTGGGTTTGAACCGCCAGCCTTCTGGTTATAGTCAAATGCCTTAAGCACTATGCCACCAGAGCTCCCACATAGTAAGTACTTAATAAATTATTCGTTGAATTACATGAATGACTGGTTTAGCCAAATGATTTAAAATAAATAAACAGAAGAAAAGCCTGAGGTTTGTAAGGGTGACATCAACCCACATCAGAGTACCTCCTTCACCAAGCAGAACCTTTTGATACAGTCTATCCTCTCAAGGGCTGCCTTTGATGGTCAAGATTGTCCTTGGACCCTATGCCTCAAGGACAGCCAAGAATCTTTTTGACACTGTAGCCAGCCGGCTTGTTTCCTGGTCCCTTGTCAATGAGTATCCATAGCAGACCAGCATGAGCTCTGTGTAGTTGGCAGCCTTGGTGCAATCATAGAAATAAATGTGAATATTCCCTGTTAGGAGATGAGAGATGAGTGTCACTGATAGTTGAGGTGACATCCCCAGTATTCAGGATCCTTTCATTTTATTCTACATTTGTTAGCCAGTCAATTCATTTGTAGAGTTGGAAAATACATACAAATCAGAGCTTGGGTATCAAGAAAACCATGTTTGTGTGTCTCTCTTCAGTACACATGTGTGACTCTGAACTTAACTTCTCTCCTCTTTCAGGGTGAAAAGGCTGATAGCTTTTACATCATAGAGTCTGGTGAAGTGAGCATCTTGATTAAGAGTAAGGTGAGTTTATATGTGATGGTGTGAGTTATGCCAGTGAAGAACCAGATGCCAGATGTATGCACAGAAAAGTAACTGCTTTAAATAACACTCATTGTGACTGGTGTACCAAAACTATCACCATTGCTGTGTGAGATACGCGACTGACAAAGGACCATGTAAAAGCACATCCTTTGATAGGGATTTAGTATACTTTTTCTTATTCCAACTACCTTTGCTTTTGTTACTCAAGTAATTTAATTAATAATGTGAGAAATATTGATCTACAAATGAATAAGAAAAATAAAAATAGTGTAATATATAAAGTGGAAGAAATTATGTTATAGAAAAATACAAATGGCCAGTAAAGATGATAAAAGTTTGTTTTCTGAACACTGTCAGGGGAAGTCTCTGGGACGGTTGAATTTACAGCTGTCTGACAGCTAGGGGGACCTATAGACTAGTGAGTGATTCTTACCAGTAAGTCCATCATCACCAGCTTTCCCTGCTTCAGATTTTTTTGGGAGAATATAGAATTTGTTAAAATAGTGAGTTATATATAATACTTAATCAACCTGGTGTGAAGCCTTTTGCAGATAACACTTAGTAAAAGTTAGTAAGAAGGAAGAATGATAGAGAAATACAATTACCATTGTATTTTTTTTTTTTTAACCCCACAAAGAAAATGTAGACTTTTACTACAAAAACGCATGATCTTTACAGGTGCTCAAATAAAGAGGTAACTAAAAAAGTGCCACCATTTAAAAATGTATAAATTTTTTTAAAAAACGTGCCAGCCACTATTTCTCTCCAATGGCATCCATTACATACAAGCTCAAGACACGCTCTGGTGAAGACGTCATTCCTGTAAAATAGTTAGATTGATTTCATCTGTTTGATAGTAGCATGCTCAAGATAGCTTGATTTTTAATTAAAAATAGATACAATATTTAAAATGGAACACTGGTTTGAAACTTCATTGTTATTTTACTTACAGTGTTTGGACTACTACTATATTTTTGTGTAATTTTTGAATATTTATTGACACCTACTGTGACCCACGGCATAGTGCTGGATACACAGGACCAGCCACAGCACAGCACTGGGGAGCAGAGAGGGAAGCTTGGCAGAAACACAGTCTTAGGCTCTGCTGCAGATCTGCTGAATTCAGAAGCTGCGTTGTAGCAGAACCCCAGAGGGCTGGTACATGGGATAGTGTGATAGAGAAGAAGGACTAGGTGGGCACACAGCCCTGGGGAATCCTGCAGAATTACAAAGCAGGTTATGGGTTTGATGGGCCTGACCAACTTTACTGAACAGGGGGAAGGGTTAGGGCAGAAGTATGGAAGGAGAAAAAGTCAAGTCATGTAAGATAGTGTGGCACTTTTTTTTTTAAACTGACCTCCAAAATTCTTTTTTTTTTTTTTTTTTTAAGTCATTGTCTAGCTGCCTGTAATAAAGTGGTGCTTAGAGATTGAGAATAATTCTTAATAATAAATCTGAGAAAGTATATCTGAACTGCTGTATAGAAAGTGAATTTGCTCTGTAAATCTTCACCCAAATCACAATTTAAAAAATTAAAAATAATAATAATAATAATAATAAATCTGAAATAACCTTTTATTTAAATTATTGCTTAGGTTAGCAGTTAAATTTGTGAAAAATAAATTCCAGGTATTACTTAACAAAGAATGGTGCAAGTAATACTTAAAAAGAAAATGTGTTATTATGAAAAAGACTCTGTCCCAAATCAAAGAGAAGTAGCCCAGCGTTGTGACTTTACCTAAGAGAAACTTTGACATTATTTGCAAAGAAATAGTAAAAGACCTTGTCTTTTCCCCTGCACCACAGGGGTCAGCATCCCCTAAAAGAAGAGTGCTGTATATTTATAACATCTTCCAAAGAAAATAGTCTGTGCCTCATCTTAGCCATTACCTGAAAAGTGTTAGGACTCGGATGAAGACCCAGGTACATGCCAACTCCTCTGATTTAATCCATACCACTGAGACTAGCCCATGCCATTTAGAAGATATGGTTAGTCTCTGTAAGGTGAATTATGCTAAGTGTTCTGAGAAGAGGATGCCTGTGTGTATGACTGGACATACCCAGCTATGATTCTGGAGTCAGCCCAAGTCACGTTCTCTTCTTCCTCTAGACTAAAGCAAACAAGGATGGGGGGAACCAGGAGGTTGAGATTGCCCGCTGTCATAAGGGGCAATACTTTGGAGAGCTTGCACTGGTCACCAACAAACCCAGAGCTGCTTCAGCTTATGCAATGGGAGATGTCAAATGCTTAGGTAAGAAAAATTCTTTATGCATTAATAATTATTTTCTTTAGCATGCAATATTTTTTCTCTATCAACAAGCCTTGAGTTATTCTGCCAGCTCTCACTCACATCTAAGCCTGGATAGTTTGTGTGACCCACCAGAGATGTATTCTTTCAGCAACCGTTCCTGAGCATTGATTGCAGCCTGTGAGCAAGACAGGCACATAGGCCCCATGGCCATGTAAAACAAGGTGCCCAGGACTGTGGGGGAAGGAAAACAGATGCTGCTGGACTCTGCAAAGTCTCACAGGTCCTTGAAAACTTAAGATGACATAGTCCTGCTGTGTTAATGGAGAATCATCCTTTTTCTAAGTATTGAGTAACCCAAAGTCTAATCTACTATAATGTGAATGGGTATATTTAGGAAAAGGTTTACTTGAGAACAGTGACTTGAATTGTGTCTATAGAGAATTCATTCTCTCCTTCATCTCTTTTTACCAATGCAGTTATGGATGTACAAGCATTTGAGAGACTGCTGGGGCCCTGCATGGACATCATGAAGAGAAATATCTCACACTATGAAGAACAGCTGGTGAAGATGTTTGGCTCCAGCATGGATCTGAATGACCCTTCAGAGTAGGTGTGCCACACCCCAGAGCCTTCTCAGTGTGACACCAAAACCCTCCGGTCAGCCACAGAACATACTCGGAAAACAAACACAACAGAATTGTTCCTGCTGTTGCCGCCACTGCTGTCTTGCTGTGGCCATGGGCATTTAGAAGACTTGAAAGTCAGCACTAAAGAATGAGCAGAGGTCCAAACCACACCTCCACTTTGCTTCTGAAAGTCCATTATTAGACTCTTTGTAATGATTACTCTAGCCCTGTTTTCATATCTTTGGTTCAGAATGGCATGTCTCTCCAACAATTTAAGTGCCTGATACAAAGTCCAAAGTGTAAACATCCTCCTTTCCCTCTCTTGCTGCTGCTATTGCTTTTGGAAGTTACCACAAGGTCTGCAGAAACCTGTGGTACAACTGTAGACACCCTCCCTCAACCTTTCTCAAGGGAGGAAGTGTTAGTAGCCTTGGATCTCTTCATTTGTCCTTTGAGAAAGTCCACATTTTTTCACAATTACACCCTTTGCTTTTATAGTAGAAAATGGTGGCAGATGTGATGGAGGCCTGTGGACTTATGGCTTTGTGCTTTCTGCTGTGTGTAGCTGATCTCCAAAAATGATAACGCCAAACCCACAGTGTTGCTTAGGGAAAAGCCCTGGCCAGGGCCCGGCAGATCAACACCCTAGAGGAAACTGATCTATCAATGGGATCCACATAACAGCAGAAAATTTGGGTTTGGCATATTTTACAGGTAGCAGAGAGCCAGGAAAGGTTTTCTTAATTGAGTATTCATTTTTTAAGTGAATTTTGTTTTCCTTTTTTTTTAAAAAAAAAAAAAGCCTCTGTGCAGTTTGCATGAGTTAATTGCTGTCCATTTATAAAGAGCCAGGGTCTGGTGGTGCCATCACTTTGCTTGACCCCTGTGCTTTCCTGGACAAGTCCTACCATCTTGTTTCCAGTGGCCCATACCAGCTAACGGCAGTGTGCCAGCAAGAAGTTGCATACAAAAAGAGCCCTTTCCTTCATCTCCAGAGTTGTTGCATTGTTTTGCTGTTGAACCATCAATTTTTAAACTCTTTAAAGAGAAAGAAACTATTTTTTTGAAATTAAGAAAAAATATTTCTCTATTTAGGAAATTCCTCTTGGACATATTCATATATGTGGAGTTTGTCAACTGACTCAGCATTCATCCTAAAGAACAACTCTATTAGTTAATTTTCAAAAAGTGACATCATATACAATTTCATAAAATTCCTGCAAAGGTTTTTATAATCGAAATGTTGGGATATTTGAGGTTCCACTTGTTAATCCTAGAGGAAGATAATTTAGTTTGTATTTAAATTTTTTTAACGTTTTATTTATACCAGGTAGAATTCTGGTGAACTATCTTAATTAACTAGCTTTATTTCAGAATGAAAGTTCTTGTTTTTATTTCCTTCAGAATGACTTAAAATAAGATGCTACAAGAGATCCTAGGAGCAGTGTAAAATTGGCTTAAACATAAATTTGGATGTCACAGCCAAGTTTATATTAAATCAAGAGGCCCTTCCAATATGATTAAAAAAAAAAAACTTATATAACTCAATAAATCGCTGAGAGATTTCATACAGGGCTTGAGTCATTCTGTTCTAGATAATGACAGAGCCTACACAGACACCATCTAGTGTCCACATAAGCTAGACCCTCTGTTTTTGTCGTGAACGTAATGGCTGAGTTTACCAGAGCGGGTAACCCGCCCCAACCTCGGTACTTCTCCCATTTTCTTGTGCTCTATGAAGTGAAAGCAGAAGCGCCCTTTTGGGACTGCCCTGAGAAGCCTGCATTGCAGCTACTACAATGTGAATTGTAAAAGGCTGTGACAGTAACTCTACAACAAGCAGCTAGCACTGGGAAAGGCCATGTGCTAGCCACATCTTTCCTCAAGGTTCTTCTTTTCTATAGTGTCATTTTATTATCAAATAAATCCAGAAAGAAGGCCTTGAACTTTAACAGGGAAGAACCATGACTGTTTTTTGCAAAGGTACACTGAGTTTTTAGGAGGGACACAGAGGTCCAGCCCCAGACAGTGTGGCCTCTGTTTGAATGCCAAGCAGATGTCTCTTCCCCACCTCACATACCAGCATTAGTTAGGGCTGGCTGTGAACTCTGTGCCAGTGTCACTCCAGCAGGCTGCTAGGGATGAGCCTTTTCATCCCATCCTCTCACACGTACCAGTCTAGCCTTTGCCTTCACAGAGCTCTCCTTCACACCCCTGACTTAACTGATGGTTGCTGTTTTCCAGAGTAGAGTCACAAACCTATCTATAGATCGACATATAGATCAGCAGTCCAGACCCTCACTGCATACAGGTTCCCCAAAGGGTCTCACTTAAGAAGGAAGACCTTAAAGGGATCAGTGTGAGTGAAATAGGACATAGCCATTTCTAGGGTACCAGGACCTGACCAAGTTCAACTTGACTGTTAATTAGGTGTATAGGTGTTCACATAGTGTTGGGGCAAGCTGCACCAATGGTCGAGCTTCACAGAAAGGAGTGTGTGTTGGGAACAGATCCCTTTGTTAATTGTTTTATATTGTTCTCTTCTGTCGGTTAGAGCTTCGTGCCCTCTTTTCTGACTTTGCTGTTGACTTCGGATGGTGGAAAATGATCCCGAGAACCTTGAGATCCACCCCACAGTATTGTCCCTCCTTCTGGCCCCCAGCTTATCCCACCCACTCTCTTCTATTGACTGTATTCTCTGAAGGAAAAGTTCTTGTGCTTTGGTCCTCTTAGTCGGTAGTCCTTTTATATATAATTGTGTTATATATCGTTGTTAGGATTCTCTGAGCTTTTCTTCAAGCAGTTTAATGAGTGAACTCAGCAGCAAAGTGGGAAAGCTGGGAGAGGTCATGCTCGTCCTTTGACTGCCCAGATTCTCTGACCCAACTGTGGAGAAGTTGGTGAGCAGTGGGCCCACAGCAGTTCCATGACGTGTATCAGTGTACAAACAATCCTCTCTCATTCAGAAAAAGTGAAAGAGCAGATTTGCACAGAGAAAAAGGAAAAAGACCCATGAATGTCATCTTTTATCTTTTGTTTTTGACATGCACTTGTAATCCAGTATTGCCAAGGTAAAAGTTGTTTTGGTTTTTCCCTAGTTACCTCTTGTTCCTCCTGTCTTGACTGCTGACGTTCCTCAGTGATTCTAAAGTCTATTTTATGGGAAGCAGCCTTCCCACGGGTTTCCTTTTACACACTGCAGGGCTATCTTTATACTTTAAAAAACAAAAATTTAAAAAAAAAAATGGGGGGATGGGGAGAGAAAACTGTCACTAACCTCATGGGGATTTGCAGAAAACCATTTAGCCCACCTTGAGCAGAAGGTAGATTTCTCATTGTTTTCTTAAGCTCATTATAATAATAAAAAAAAAAATCTATTCAGCATCATTGTGCTACCTCAAAGACAAAAGTGTTTTAAGGTATTTTTTGGTCCTGAGTTCTACGCATAGTGTTTGAAATGTCTTTCAATTGGAGTTATTTTTTAAATCATTGGGAAGAATCTTATTTTAACCTATTTTACATTTGTATTTTAATCTCAGAAGAATAAATGATTGGAAAGTGATCAATTCTTGCTCTGTAGTATTGAACATATAATTAAAAGTCATTAAGAATTGAATCATTGTTTGCCATAAGGTTGGGTTTTTTAAAAGGAAACTCTAGGGCTCGGCTTCACTGTTGTTTAATAAAGGCTGACAAATCATGTCTGACTTTCCTTTGCCACTTGTGTGTCTCTTCTCTCATTTCAGGACTCTAGGCCATCACAGTACTCATCTGGCCAATGTACTGTTGAGATTGGAGTATGAGCCCCTGAAAATTAAGGAAAAAGCCTGGGCATGATATTTGAGTTGTTGGGGATAGTGTGCAAGGGTATTCAATATATCCCTTGCCATGGGATGAGGCCCAGCAGAAAACATCACTCACTTATCTGACAATGTTATTTTATCACTTCCTTCAAGGTAGCATGGCTAAAATCAAAACGAGTAAGAACTCATGACAGCCCACTGTACCTGTAGTTTTTTCCAAGGTAACCAAAGGAAACTCATTCTATGGCAAAACCATGTTTTAGTGTAATCTTACCCTCATCTAGGTAGAGACACCTGCCTGTACAAAAGAGCCAAGTGGGTAAACATACAAAATAATGACCTGGGCCCAAGCAGCTGGTACCTGAACCCAAACCAAAAACCAAATCCACTGCCATTGAGTCGATTCCAATTCATAGCAACCCTATGGGACAGTAGAACTGCCTATAGGGCTTCCAGGGTTGTAAATCTGTACGAAAAGAGATTACCTCATCTTTCTCCCACAGAGCAGCTTGTGGGTTCGAACCACTGACCTTTTGATTAGCAGCCAAATGCTTTAACCCCTGCACTACCAGAACTTCACCTGATGGGCTCGGGACCATAGTCAAAGGGGACATCAAGCTCAATTGGCATGTTATATACTACACAAAACATTGTTCCACCTCCTACTTTGGTGAGTAGCAACTGGGATCTTAAAAGCTTCCAAGTAGTCATCTAGATGCAGCAATGGGTCGCTCCTTGTCCAGAGCAAAGAAAGAAGAAAACCAAAGATTCATGGAAACAATTAGTCCCGGTGACTGGTACACCATGCGATCTGCAGCCTATATGACTGTGAGACCAGAAGAACTAGATGGGCCAGCTACCACTGTCAACCGCTCAGAGGTAGATCTCTGTAGCAGATCCTGGATAGGGAGAACAATGTGGAACAAAACTCAAAATCATTTGGAAAAAAAAAAAAGGTGGGGACCAGGTTTGCTGGTCTGATAGAGCCTGGTGGAACCACTGAGACTATGGCCCCTAGCTGCCCTTTAGGTTTGGAATTGCACCCACGCCTGTGGCTTCCAGGCAAACAAAAGACAGGCATAAGAGTTGAACATTTACCTGAGGTAGATACACTCCTTGGAGAGAACAGTCATGGGAGAAAGAAGGGCTGTTTATTATGCACAGGGAGACAGCTCAGGGGGCAGGAGTGCAGGGAGGGATGGACACAGGGAAGAGGTAAATTATTGGGAGGAAGTGGGAGGGGAGCTGTTGCATCGTGGTAAATTATAGTCAATGTCATGAGACAAAGTGTATGTGAACTGTTGTATGGAAAGTGAATTCGCTCTGTAAATTTCACAAATCACAAAAAAAAAAACACTTCACCTGAACCTTGTCCAAGGTAAATTGGCCTTGTTTTGAGGCTTTAGAAGTTAAAATTTTTTAAGCTTTTGTAGTTTTTGTGGTGGTGGTACTGTGACCTCAGGAAGTCTCAGGATACCAGTCAAAAACAGGACAAAGGATATGAACAGACAGTTCACCAAAGAGGATATTCAAAGGCCAGCAGACATGTGAAAATATGCTTAAAGTCATTAGCCACAGAGAAATGCAAATCAAAATCACAATGAGGGGAGGCGGGGCAAGATGGCGGACTAGGCAGAAGGATTGCACAGACCCTCTTCAACAAAGAAAAGGGAAACCAATTAACACAGACACAGAAGATAATCT